GGAAACCTGCTACTGCTTCACTGTAGAGAATCAATTGGGCTTTCATGATCAGAACTACACTTGGGACTTTTTAAATAACACCTGGAGTTTCCAGATTCAGTACCTGATCTTAGGAGGTTATCAGGTTGAATTTTTAAGTTATACTTAAATATACCTTCACACAAGGCAGATACATCTTGTAGGAAGTTCCCTACTGGTGCTATTCAGCATCTGCTCTCCCTTCTGGTGATACAGGTATTTGTGGAGCTGAAACGAAAGAAACCGATTCTTTCTATTTGGGTTTAAGCACTGTAAGCCCCATTTCTGGAACAGTAATCTTAAAAAAGTCATGTGTTTTGGGGTGTGATATTGACCCTCAAGGGGAATGCCAGGGGAAATGGGAAGAGGGAGAGGCTGGAGTTTCTTAACTGGTCTTCATTGTCAGAAGGCAATGTAACCTTCCATATTCTGATAGTGAGCAGATGCTCAAGAAGGTGCTGTTGCTATAATGATATAACTGGTGCTGGCAATATTGTGAGGAAAGGTCTTTTATTCCCCTAATTCTCATAAAAATGTCAGTTATCTGGAAATTCAGTAGAGTTCTCTTTAAAATAAGTTTAGTTGTAATACAAGAGTGTTGCAACTATGAAGGGCCTTTCTCTAAGCCCTCCTATCCCTTCAGGGAGAAAAAAGGGAATAATTTCTTTATTTCAAGGTTGAAGGAGAGGCTTTTCTTGGCTCCAGACATTCAGAAAAGAAGAAAGCTATTTTCGAGATGCAAAGGATGACAAGAGGCCAGTACTGAAATGTGTTTGTGCTGCTTCTTCAAATTGCTGTTACCCATCCTTTTGATGGGTGTGTCAGCTAGTGGTACAAATGTTTTGAAAACATGCATGTACAGCAAATAGGAAGTTGCAGTTATGATGGATGGGTAAATGGAGGACATTGGATGGACAAAAAATGAATGTGCTGAAATGCAAGTTGGATTTAAAATTTGTCTAGATCTACTTGAAAGATTAATTAGAGAAGATAACAAAAAATTATCCCAGAGGCAGTGAAAAGCAGGGGGAAAAAGAGAGACTGGGCAAGAAAACTGTCACAAAAGAGAAGTTATTATTATATAGTGAGGTTTAGCCAAATTCACAAAGTTATCTAATGGTATTAAGACCCTCTGAAAGTTAAAATATTCTTTGGATATTTTAATGAAAAGATAATTAGCAAAAAAAAAGGTGGATTTATCATTCAACTGGAGTATAGATCAAAAATAGTTTAAGCATGAAGTCAAGACTAAATTAATAAGGAAAAAGCTATGGACCAGCAGGGTAAAAGCAATATATGTACTGGGAACCAGAGCACGGAATTGGAAATTGGAACATTTCAGAACTTTAATGCAGCCAAATTGTGGTTATCAAGTAGTCTTTGGATTGAGTTTAGACACAGTGGATTTGAGAAATACCAGGTTCACATGTCAGATATTTTTAATGGTAGTAAATTGGAGATGGTACCATTTGATCAGAGGGAAGCCAATTTAATGCCTTTAATTAGGTCAGCAAAGGGAAACTGATAATGGCATCAGCAGGACCTAACTCAGAAGTGATCCAGGATGCAGAAAATATTTTAAGGTAAAAAAGACAAATAGAAAACAAGATACAATGAGGTATGATTTGCTATCTTACTAAAAATAGAATGTGTACAACTAACTTGATGCTTTAAGAAAATCTGCTTTTCCTCGGTTAAAATGACTTGGAGTCTGATGGTAAAGTGTCTGAGAAAGTACCAGCAGTAAATCTAGAGGAAATTACCAGAGGAAGTATTAACGGAATGAGGTGAATAAGCAGAAGCGATTCTTCTACAGTGAAAGAAGTATTGGACTGAAGAGAGGTAACAGGGGAATTATTTTTTTCATTCCCTAAAACAAGAGCAAGATGAGTCTAAAAATCTGTTCCCGAGTAACATAGACTGATAAAATTTGCTGATGAGGGAATGCTGAGAGGAAGGAGAGGGAGGAGTGTGGTATGTTACAGCAAGTACTGAATGACTTTGGGGTCTTGGAACTCTGGGGAGAAGAAAGAAATTCAGGAGTATGTGTTTGGAGACCTAAACAAAGAATAATCTTGAATGTAATAAATGGAAATGGTGGAAGAAAAGCTATTCCAGCTACAAAGTTATTTAGTTAGTTACAAAGTAACTAATGCCAGAGAATGCCTTTGTAATCATCTACATTGGAATGGGATGGATACAAACTGGAATAAATGCAAAGGAAAGCTGTGGGTTAGGCAGCTTCAGAACTATTTCCTGAGAAGAAATAAAAGGTTGGGGTCAGTTATCTGTGTTACAGAAGTTAGAGAAAGATAGTTATTGACAGTAATGTCAATCAACATACACAGGGAATCAGAGCTTTTAAGGGAAAGGACTGTTATGAAGCAAGAACGGATGAATAAAAGGTGGTAATCAATAAATCTGGAAATTAGACAGTCATTATTTGTAAAATGAACAGTAGGATTCTAATAAAACCACTCAGTTGTAATAGGGAGAAGCCATTATTACCTTTAGGCTGGAGCTTGATACCTTTGTAAAGAGTGTATGGTGTGCCTCTGATAACACCAAAATAATTGCAGCTTGATGACCCTGGAGATATCTTCAAGATTTATATTTGTATAATAAGAGATATTTTGTGTCTGCAGAAGATTGAGCATCATACAAAAAGACCCAATCTTTTTATTTGGATAAAATTCACATTAATGCTAGTGAGACCTTCTTTTTCATAAAAATTGTTTCATTTTGTTGATGTGGTAATGACAAATTGAATTCAAAGCTATTCCAGTAGTACACTGTAAAAAGAGGCAAAAGAGAAATAAATATCAGCAGTGCAGGATCACAGAAGATGTTGTTAGAATTTGAGGGAAAGTAGAACAAGAAGTCTCACTTCTGATGCAAATCTTGGGAACTAAGAGCTTGGTGTGAGTATGGGCATAATGGTGTCATTCTAAATTCATGAAAATAGCTTTACAAATGGAGGAGAGGCAAAGTGGGGTCAGTGCAATTCAAACACACGATGACAATTTTAGCCTAAATAGAATGCTCTTTGTGACTAGATGAATTAATTACTGTAAGACAGTGTTCTTGCTTGTCATTCTGATTCTTTCTGCTTGTTAATCACTCCTAAATTGTAGCTATTGCAGTAATATTAAGATTTATTGCTTACAAAATTTTGCTAATCCATTTTCTAGTTTAGCGTTTGTTCACATATTAATGTAAATGTTTTGAACATGTTTCTTATTTTACATTTGTTTTGTTTTCTGTAGTACTGTCTTTCTGCCTATCAAGTATTTTTGTTCCATTGAAACTCTGTATGACTGTTTTAAATGTTTTGCTTTCATAGTCAAGCGTAATTTACCTATTCAACAAATTTGATGACATACCAAGTCTGAGCTGAGGAAGAGATTACTGTACAAGTAATGAGTTCAAGTGGCAATGAGAAGAAACATCTGCAGGATGCTTTAACTGACTTTGTGCGCCTCACTGGACTTGTAGCGACTGCAGTGTTTCCCTTCTTATTGTGGATGATGGTGCTAATGCGCTTCAGGAAACTTTGGATCTGCTGAGGGTACTGACAGAACTCAGTTTTCTGTGAATGTGATGAAATTCCCTGAGCTGTTAATCACACAGAAAACTTTAAACATGAAAACTGGGGAAATGGTTATCCAATATAATGAGTTATAGTAAAAATGAAACAGAGCAAATAATAATAGGGAAATGGACGCATTTTTATTTGCACACGGAAACATTTGAGTTGTACATATCACTGTGGTCTTATAACTATGTTTTTTTCCCTCTTTTTTCAAAAAGCTGCTGATCTTTTGAAAAAAAGTAATTGGAGGAATTAATCTTCTATTTATCCAAACTATTCTGTGTTCTTTCTCTGTGGTTTTTTTGTTTGTTTAATTACAAGGACCATTTGCATGAAAATAGGATTTTAGGAGTTGAACAGCTTCTGATGCTTTTTCCCAGATACATTGAGTAAACCACATTTATTGCATTTATAAACTAAGCCAACTTTTGTTATGTAAAATTCCCTGTATGCTTTTTTTACACTGAATTATTAATGAATATTTAAGAATATGCTTTAAAAAGGTTCCCCCTGGATCCCTCTGAAAATATATACCATTAATGTATAAAATTCTCCTCCCTTCTCCCCATCATGTCTTCTTCAAGACTTGCCAGGAAGTCATATTGGTAGCCATCTCATTTCTCTGACAAATTAAGCCACATTTCTGTAGTTCCTCCATTTTCCAAAATAAGCAGCTTCTTATGCTACACAAAATCTTCTAAATCAGACTGAAGTTTGCAAAAGTTCATCAGATTTTCCTTTTCTTTCTTCTTTGCAAAGGATCTTTGTAAAGATTTCTTTATAAAGAAAATAGAGTGATTTATTGTAAAAGTTATCCACAGTGAGGTGGAAATCCAGAAGCAGAAATTTGACTGGGGCGTGTGTTTTGGCAAAACTTAGTAATGACTAAGATGATAGAGATGCTACTTCAGTTTGGGCACAAACTGGTCACTGTATTATGGCAAAAATAGAAAGGAGAGGGATGGCACCTTTGGCCTACAAGTTATAATAACTTGAATATTTATCTCATCAGTAAAGAGTTTAGTCTTCCAAAATTAATTTATTTCCAAAGTGTACATTAAATTCTGGATTGACAATTTAGATACTGATTTGTGTTATCATATTTAATATTTTTAATGTTAATATTGTAGTTATATTTAGTGTTTGGTTTATGCTTTTTGGATAGAAGACATGTATTTTTACTATTTTTAATCTGAGCGGAACCTTCATACAGCACATCTTTTTAGATGCTTGGCAAATGTGAAAATGCTAGTATAAAAGAATAAATTTTATTATTTAATTTTATTACAGAATAAATAATTTTACAAATTCTTATTTGAAGTGCAGAATACTGAACTTCAAACATAAAATAGTTATCTGACTGAAATTTCAATTATTTTTGTTCATTTAGATTTCTCATATTGGAAAGCTGAAAGATTTTCTTCTACAACACAGAAAGGATTACATTAATGCTTATAGGTAAGTGTGCATTGTGTTTAAATAGATATATTTATTTATTTAATTATCACTTGTCTTACTGTAAGCTACTGTGAGATGAGGAATAGTGCTGTCCCAAGAAGACAATGTGCCTGAATAAAATGAGGCTCAGAATTTGAAAATTATTTCTGGCTCTTAGGAGTGAGTTCTGAAAAAAAACCCAGAAGTCTGAGTCCCACACCTTTTAAGGACCTGCAGAGTAAGTTTCTGAAGTGGTTCTCGAGACAGCAGGGTACCAGGTTCAGTGATTCAGGTTTTCCCTTTCACCTGTGACACTGCACCTACACAAAGGGTGCAGTCGGTAGCCTCAGCAGGTCCTGGAGAAGAATGATGCAAACTCTTCAGATGCTGGAATACAAATTCCAGATGGAGGACACCAGGGAGGATACAGTGTCAGGGGACAGCAGCACAAGATTTGTTTTTCTGTGACAAAAACAGTAGGGTTCATCTCTGCTAGTTATTCCTGTGTCAAGAAAGTTTTGATTCTCTTCAGCCGTTAGGAAACATTCAAAACTGCTGTATCTACTTACTGCTGACAGCTTTAGTAGTAGGATTTTTAGAAGGTTAATATACAAGTTTACAGGTGGTTGTTAGTAAGAAAAAAATAGGGTCTTGTGGCTTGCAGATACTAAATCAAGTTATCCTAAGAGCTAAATGTTAATGCAACTTGTGTTTTGGTGAACTGAGTACAAGTAATAGTTTCATTTGAGAAATGTAAAACTTGCTTTTTAATGAAACTTTGTTTCATGCAAACTTAGTGAGTCAGCCCTGTCTGCATTCCAGTTCTGCCACAACCCTGACTAAAGCTGAGCTTGTCCTTCAATCAAAGTAGAGAAAATGCAACCTGAGTCATCTTGGGTTGAAAGCTTCACAGATAGCAAATAGAAGCAATATCGAGATAGATATCCATTCCCCAGGAGAAGGCAATAGAACAGACAAGCAAGTCCATGTTGGAGGAACAGTCTTTCTGAGAAATAACTTCAGGGCCTGAAAGGGTCTATCACAGCAAAAGCTATACTGCCCAATCAGTGGAATCAAAATGTGCTGCTAAGTAAGTTACTAGAAGACTTCTGGCACCCTTCTTTTGTCTCCCTGAGATTTTTAAAAGCTGTATTTTGTTGTTTCGAAAGTGAAACCAGTAAAGGAAGATGGCATATTTTTGTAAGTGGGAGACCTTGAGAACTATTTGTAGTTGGTGAAAGTGAAGCTCAGGGGTGTCAATTCTGTGTATGAGGTGGATGAGGGACTGCTTTTCCAAAGCAGCAAGCAGAAGTAACTGTACAGTTACGTGTTACAACTGACTCCCTGCTTTTCAATGCCTGTTGGAATAGGTCACGAACAACACAAGGTGGAGCTGTTTAATGCTGAAGTAACTGGGTTTACTGTGTGAAAATTTCATGTGAATGCAGAGGTTGAGAAACTGCAAGTAACTGCAGCGAGAACAGTCAGAGGCAGTTAAATTTTGAGTACTGTTTGTATTAACAGTACTGTGCATAAAATGAAAGTGATTAGAGGACTAAAAATTTGTCCAAGTTATTTCAATTTCTAAAATTGTTAATGTTTTTTCTGTAAACTCTGTTGTAACAAGTTATCATGGTAATTCTCAGTGCTGTTCCCACAAACACACCTGACCCTCAGGTATTCATTAGGGAGAGGAAAGAAGTGTCATTTCCTTTATTAAACCATAAGTAATCCTGCAGATCTCATCTGCGATTGCAGTTGATCCTGTCCTTAATGGTCAAACTTAAAATAGGTAGTACTGTCAAATTACATACAAGATTGTTTATGCTGTTCTACTTTGTGGATGCTGTCAGTCTGACAGTCTTAGCAAATGCTGCTCTCAAACAGCAGTTTCAGTAACTTTTCAATACTTATATAATTGGGTCAGTTTTTGAACAATTTAATATTAAAAGGCTGTCCTGAAATTTATGTAGGAGATTTAATTTTGTTCTTGAAATTTGACTACTCTGTATTTTGTCAGTCCTGCTATTTGTTTTTCCAACTAGTGCAATATGTTGGTGTAATTCAGCTTTTGAGTTACCAAGTTGAACTATTGTATGCCTTTTAAAACTTCTTCATGATGTGCTACATCCAGGTTCTTGATTGCTTCTTTGACCTTACTTTTTCAGACTATAAATTCTTTAATAATAGAGTTTTTATTTTTGGCATACATAAAATATCCTACCATAGAGGGGATGTCTCTATTTCGTTTTTAGAGGAAAATTTTTAGCAATGTGAAAGTCAACTGGAGGAAGGGTTATTTGAAAGCGAGGCCCTGACCCATTTTATCAAACTTTAAATATTTTACTGAAATACCTAAATTGAGCCCAAAACCCCTCAAGATTGCTTATTCACCTTCTTTCTTCTTGATTTGACTGTTATTTATAAAATATGTAAATGGCAAAGCGCATGAAACTATTGATGCAGTGATCTAAGCTTACTGACTTAGAAACCACTACACCTTTATCTTCTCCTGTTTATCAGGATTTATTTGCTTTCTCCTACATGTAGGTTTTCATTCCTTTTAGATGAGGATTGTTACTTACCTTCCCGTTTTTAGTGTATTGACTGCTACACATTGTCTATATCCTTTCCTTCAATCCATTTGCTGTAACACATCCCTACATTGCTTCTTACACTATGCTCCGTGAGATCCTGTCTTCAGTCTTTGGTAACTTGTCTGATGTTTCATCTGTGAACAACTTGTGCCTTCTTTTCATCATCAGCTCCTTCATGCTTTTGATCATTGAATCACCAAGACAGTTTGTATGTTTGTGTTAAATATGATTTGAGGAACTAGTGCCCTAACACTTGGGAATTTGAAATGGTTCTCGGGATTCCTCTGTTTTTTCTGAAGGCTCTTTCAAGTTTAAAGATTCCTACTCTTTTAATCAGACACTGGAAAGGAATTGAGGGAATTCCAAATTCTGATCGCAGAACCTCATGTAAAAGGAAAATGTTTGAGAGAAGACCTTCCCATCTGGAATTATTAGACATCTAATATATTGTGTTTTGCAACTGCAGAGATACTTATGTAGCCGATCAGTCTGGTGTAGATGGCTTCTGAATAGAAATGATACTTTTTCCATGGGAAAGGCTGGATGAGTGGCTTCTCATACATCTTCATTACATACTCCTGTGGTCCTATGCAATTAAGTGTTTGAACATTCCAATTGTTAATAATATACTTTAAAAAAATTCTGAACAAATTATTTTTCTGTCTTAAAACATGATGTTGGTGCCCAGTAATTATATCTCCTGCCCTAGTATTTATCTGTGTAAGCATTTACCTGTCTAAAGGCAATAAATCAGTTACATCATTTACCACTTGAATGAAAATCATTGGATGCTTACACAGTGCTTCATGGAGAGTGTTTTCATGTCTTTAACAATAAAAGAAAAGAAGCAGCCATTAAAGGACTCTAAAAATACTGTTTTACTGACTCCTGTACAATGCCAGGCTGCTTTCTTGTCTAGGCTTAATCACATTTTTACAGGAAGCAAGACTTTGTTTGTTATAATGATAGTAAAACATAGATGATCTATAGAGACTTTCCTGTTCTCCAGGGAATTATTTTCAAATTATTTATATTTTCTTTTTTAATTGCACTAAGATAATATATCACATTTCAGAAATAGTAGGTTTTTTGTACTAGCACTCCGGAATTTCTCAGCAATATGTTACGAAACTGAAAATGCTAATTCAGGTTTGCCTGTACTGCCTGTTCCAGTAGCTGAGGCTTCCACACAGAATTAAAAAAATACATTTTACGTGGGTTGTTGTGGAATGTTTTGTCATTTGAGTAGACAAGCATTTACCTTGGATTTATGTCAGACAGCATTTAGATGAAAAAAGGCGGTAAATGAAAATGCACAAATCTTTGTTAAATAGGAAATCAGACAATCTAAAACATACTAGATGCCCACAGGGAAGAAGTTTTAAAATGTCTGCTGTATTTGCAACTAAGGTTGTACAGCCATGTCCTTGAATACTGACAAGGAGCCTTTCTTTATGTATTTGCAAGGCAGTATCTGCAGGTGGTAAGTGGGGGAAACCTCTTCTAAAAACAGCATGTATCAATATTTTAGAACTGATTTTTTTTCTGCTTATTGCTTCTCTCTCTTTCGTAATACACTGTTGGAAGAAAACCAAGGTTTTCTTCTTGATTTGTTGTCTTTATTGACTTAGTAAGGAGAAAATATTTTATGCACCAGCAGAAGGTTAGTAATTCCAAAAGCTGATGTAACACCTCCATCAGCTCCTCTCCCTTGTGCTTTGCCAGCAAAATAAGCTGGAAGAAGCATGGCTGAAACATCCAGAAGAGAACTGCTAGTGCTTTGCTTGCTTTTAAATGTTTCTTTAAGTGAGATTTCATATCCTCACTGTAATGAGGACCCATTGTAATGATGACTTTTTATGCAACAACATGTTGTTGTTATGTTTGGTTTATGATCTGATACAATCCCAGCTGACTTTCTGAAGTACTGTTCCCTGATCAGTTCTTCCCCATTCTCTGTGGGTTCAGATAATTGTTCCTGCTCCAGCAAAGAGCCTCTGACCATTCCTTATTGGAATTCTTCATGTCATTTCTCCAGGTTGGCAGTATTGTTTTGAACTGAAGTCTTGTTTTCTTGATACAGTTTTAATTTGCTTAACTTTATGCCTCTGCAGGTTTAGTAAGCATATACTCCATTCTGCTGAGTTGTTAATGGAAGTATTAAATAGCATCAGATTCAGAACAAAATCCTGTGGAACACAGCTCAGTACATCCTTCTGTTTTGGTATACAACTACTCCCAAGTTCAACTTTCCAGTTTCAGATTCATATGGTGCTTGTTTCTTCTAACTCATTTATTCACTGGTAGCTTATGAGAATGTTGTGTGAGATGGTAACAAAAGCCATACTAAAAAATATAGCAATGGTTGCTTGTCCTCCATCCATAAGACCTATTACTGCATCCCAGCAGTAAATTACACTGCCTGTGGCATAGTCCTGATACATCTTGGCTATTGGTGATCTTTCTGTTCTTTCCTAAGTGCTTAAATGTTACTTATTTATTCTTACATTTTTCTAGGCTGAGTGGTCTGTGAGTCCTCTGCGCTTTTTTTCCCCTTTAACGGAGTTTTTTTAAGATAGTTGCTAAACTTCATCTTTTCATTAACCTCTCATTGGCTTAGTCTCTCCTAGTTCTTGGCAGTGAGGATACATCCCTTCATTTGATGCATTTCCTATTTTATTCCAGGACTTGGTCTTCTGTTTCTGATCACTGTATGAATGTGCATACACCCTGGGCTTTTTTGGAAGTTGGTTAGTTCCATTCAAGAGCACATCTTTGTCATACAGATAGGAGGGATATATTAAGTTTACCTTCAGCATTATTCCAGGAGCCACTGTACCTTCAGGTACACTTGTGCTGTGGCCTCATTCCCATAGCTCTCTTTCTCATACACTCATTTACTCAGCAGCCTGTTGTTCATGTATTGTCTGACACTTGATGTGGTTGATGAAAATATCAACAAAGAACTATGATGAGTTCAAAATGAGAGAGGTACTAAATTGGGCTCAGATGATTTAGAAGCAGTAAGCTAAAGGGTCACTGTCTTCGTTGTACTCTTCACCCACCATCTTAGAAATTACAAATAAATCAAGTTGCCTTCCAGCCCAAGTTGTGAAGTTTTCTCATATTAACTAGGATAAAAATCCAGAGGAAGTTATTTTCCTCCTTTGTCCCTTCTTTATCTCCATGCATTAGCCAGTACACGTCTTGGCTACTGTTTCTCATTATTTCTGGAAAACCTGGTTTATTTGGCCTTTCTTGATTTAGTGACGGATCAGTCCATTGCTGTGATACTGCCACTGCACTTCTGAGCAAGTATTTATATCTCTGACATAAGAGACACAGCTGGATTTTTTTTCTGTTCGTTTGTTTTTTGTCTGATATATTCACGTGGTTTTGTTTTTCTTTGGCCTGTTTTATTTTAATGAATGGTTCTTTTTCCGGTAAGATTGGAGGATGATGATTAAGTGAATTTTCAGTGTAATCTCCATGTGCAGATTTACTGGGGAGTGCAATGGGGACTTCAGTACCCTGTTAATACTAGTGGATGCCATATGTGTTTTGACATAATGGGATATGATTGTGTGACTCCATTCTTGCCTTCCCAAGGAGGTTGGGTTTCAGGTATCCTTGCCTCCGAGTTGCTTGACCAGCTCATGTTCAAAAGCACCAGTGCCAGACGCTGTGTAAGCTGTAAGCAGTTAGAAAAGGAAAAGGATTCTATTTCTTGTGTACTGGGTTAAGCTGTGTTTTGCTAGCTTTGAAGCTGTGAAACTCCTGTTTAAGATCGACCCTTTTTTTATTAGCAACTAGGAGACGTAACTTAACAACTTGCTTCCCAATGTTAAAGCTGTTGCAGTTATCCTCAGCATATCACTACATTACCACTAATAAATGTACTCCGTGCTCATTTTCCAGCTAAATCTGTGTGCTCAAGTAACTCTGTAGACAGAGCCCACTGAAGGATGTTATACCTTATGCCATCCATACCAGATGAACTTCATGGTCCCCTTCTGTCTGGGCCTGTGTGGAGGTGGTTGTAGGAATGCATTTTCTGACTTTACACATTCTAAGAGCTTGCTTATGCCACAGACAAGTAACAAAAAGAGTCATCTATACAAGCTGTGCAAAGGGAGTATGGGAGAGGTCTGTCTTAAAATATTTAACAATATGAGTTATGTTCTGTTTTTAACTGCCAATATATCATCTTAGCAAAGTTGGGAAAAGCCCCTCTATTAGATTTTTTTAAAATCAGGCAATTTCAAATCTTTCATCATTCAGAATTTGATTTCTCAGAAAGTGCAAATTAGAGTTAAAAATCACTGATTACAGCTGGGATAGGGATTCTGCTGCAAATTTATGAAACCTGTCAGGCCTGACCAAAGAGAAACAATTCAGCTAGTAAAAGATAAATGGAAACACTATATATGGCTGGTTTTCTGTAAGTATTAAAAATTAATTTTATGACATTTAGAATAGTTTTAACCAGAGGGGGGAAAAAAGCCCTGATACTTAGATCTCCAATACACGGCAGTGTTGGAAATAAACATGTGAAATACAGAATATTCCTTCTAATTTGTTTGTCTTACTGTTTGCTTGCTAATCTGTGCTGGTGTACTAGCTGGCCAGTAAGCAGAAACTAATTTTTAAGGCAGATGAACCATGTGCTGATTTTTGATGTGCAAGCAGTTATGCGGAATGGGAATGAAGAGATTTTGGTATAATACTCAAGGACATTACAGTACACTTAAAACTTTGTGGAAGAGGTCTGATAGGCCCATTCTTACAGTACATCAGTGATGCAGGAAGGAACTGATGTGTTTGTGTATGATGAGAGTTGATGAGGTGGGGTTGTGTGAACTGGTTGTGGGCGTTCCTGTGGCAGGGACTGCAGTAGACACAGGGGAGCTTTGGCGAGCTAGTTTTGCAAATTGAAGATCCTTTCTTTTCACTTGTATTGCTGCATTAATATCATTGCATTATACATGAGGAAATGTTCACTTATAAAAATAGTAAATTCAAATGTGCGTATAAGTTAAGGTTTTCTTTCTGTTTTTATAAAGAGCAGATATAATAGGCTGTGATCACTATATCATCAGGAAACTCAAGATGAATATAGTATAAGCTGCTGTAGCAAAGTTTTATCATGCTGTCACCTATGGCTGTGGAAACACTGTTAAATACCTTTATACAGTATGCTTTTCTGGTGGTTACCTACAGTGTGTTAATATTTTAAAAACAGGCCTCTATTTTTATTAATTTAATAAGAAAAATATGTATTAATACAATTAGAAAATACTAAATGCATTATGTATAGTCTAAAATAGAAATAAACAATGGCAATAGGTTTTCATGAATATTACATTCAACTTGATATTAAAAATGTGCATTATTTTCTAGTATTCTTAGTCTGTTTTGAATTCACAGGTTTCATAGTACAGCTACTTTAAAAATAAAGCTCTGTATTTTATTGAGGCTATTTATTATTTAGGATAATGAAAATATATTTAACTAAAATAAATTCCTTCTTTTTTTTTTGTACTTCTTTCAGTATTTGCACTATTCCATTATCTTAATTTTTTCATGTTTTTAGAATTTAAATAAACTTCACTGGAATAAGTGCTGAGGGCAGTCATATATTTTCTAGTAGTATTTTCTCCTTATCTGCTCAGTATTTGATTATGTACAAGATGATAGGATATATTGCTTTTTAATATATTTTACTAGTAAAAGTGTTTAAAAAAAAAGGTTAAAAAAACTTGCTAGAAGTGGCATTTTTATCAGTGATATTTATTGAACTTTTTACTGCTTTTTCCATGAAAATCAGTGTTCCAGAAAAGTTCTTGTGAAGATGTTGACTGGGAAGGTCTAAGATGTGTACTTGTGGATTTTATGTTGGGGATTTTGTAAGTGACAAGTTTGTCTTGTTTCTCAGCCATATTATGTCTGAGTATGGGAGGATGACGGATACAGAGCGTGATCAGATAGATCAAGATGCTCAGGTGTTTATGAGAACGTGTGCTGATGCCATTCATCAACTGAGAACAGAAGGTAAACTAAGCAGCTCTTACATGTTTTTTCTCAGTTATTGATGAAGGGTAATGTAATGCTGAATATTGCATGGTGAATCTGAAACACTTTTAGAAAGAGATTAGTGAAGTCTCATTGCCTTTCTGTGTATATCTGTTTTGTCCTGTTGGATGTTTAGTACTGTACTTCATTTTCTTAAATGTTAGTGGAAAGAGAGGTCAGAGCATGGAATTTTACTTATTTATTCAAATACACCAGGTAACATGTGTAAAAAAAGAGTCTTAAATATTTACAACTTGAGTAGTAATTCATCACTGTGGCACAGAGGCCTGAACCAAAGCTCCCTAAATTCAATGGTTGCCTCTTTCTAGCTTGTCTATCTGTAAGGTATTACAGGTATAATATGTCCAAGTTCGAGATAATTAAATAACTTTAACAGAGTTCTGGTAAATTAACAGCATTTTTGACAACTTGAATATGGGATCATATCTCTACTACACTATCTTGTGGAAGTTGCGGAGAGAATTTCTGTTTGGCCGTTTTCAAGTTGACTTGCTGTAGCTCTGTGTTTTGTTGATACATCAAAGATTTTCATCAGCTGTGAAATGCTATCCAAACAGTTGTAACATTATTCAGAATCAGTGAAAGTCAGGCATGCATGGGAACTACATAGTGTAAACATAAGAAATATCAATATATGTGAATTAAAAGGATGTTTGACACAATAAATCTCAAATACTTCCACATAGTCTATACACTGGAGAATTTGAAGAAGTTTGATATTTTAAGCAAGTTAAATCTCTAGATCTGTGTTGCTGTGCTTAGCTAGATGATACCTAGTCCTGTTTAGAAATTTAATTGATATAACTTCTTGGCATATATAAAAATAATGTAAGACACTAGCTGGCTTTATTTTTTGATTTCTTGTGATGATTTGCTGGTTTAGAGAACCTATATTTAAATATAGTTGTATTTAAAATAGGCTTTTGAGTATAACTTTCATGTCAACTGAAAGTGCAGACTGTTTTGGAATTCAGTAAAAAGTTACAAGATTCTCCTGTATCTTTCTTTTGTATTTCAGCACACAGGGGTGTCCTGTCTGCTCAGGTAAAGGAGCACAGAACCGCTGTCTTGGACTTCATTGAAGATTACTTAAAAAGTACTTTGTATTTATTGCATGGTTAAAAATAGATGATTGCATTTTCCAAGAAAGGAATCTTGCTCTTCTAACCTGAAATTTTGTTTACTGCTATCCTGAACAGGAGTGTGCAAGCTGTATTCTGAACAAAGAGCTATCCGAGTTAAGCGAGTGATAGATAAGAAGAGACTGTGAGTAGTGTCAAAAATAGTTAACTGTACCTTTTGCTTGTAGGACATTCAACAAAACTGTTATTCGTGGCTAGATTCTAAGGAGATTGTTTTAATGGAAATCTGTGGTTGGATTAAAATCTTCTGCTGTCAGCAGGTGCATTCCAGGGCTCTTTTACAGAGCGCTAATAGAGTGCTGTACTTCTCACGTAGGTAAAGGATTAAAGCACCAAATCAGAAAAATGTGGGTTAATAAACCTATTTGACTTCTACAAATGCACCAAAGTATTTTTATGTGTCCCATTAAGTAATATTCTGAACAAAATTATTTACAACAAAATCCTGCATTGGTAACATGTCTCAAAGATGGGTTGTCTCAAAGATATGCCATTTAGGATACTGTCTGTTTAGGTACAATATATGATCACTTTTCTCTCCTATTCTCTTTCTGGCTTTCTTTTTTCCCCCCCTTTTTTTTTTTTTAAGCCCCTATCTTTCTGCTAAAGCAAGAGACTGTTGTTAGTAAATGCTACTTGAGATGACAGGTGTTCATGGCAAGTAGAAACATGATGTACCTCTTTGCCTCTCTTTATGGATGTAAGAACTAGAAAAGTGATGTTGACCAGGTAGAGTCTGTATGCATTGCAGATGTCATATAATTGCCAAATTGTCATTTAAATTAAAATTCAATTTAAATAAATCACAGGGCATAACCCAACATTTATTACGACTCGAAGAAAAATGGTATAGTTAATTTGTGATTTCCCCAAGGATTTCAGCAGATGCTTTATGTGATGAGAAGTGTACCTTCACTTAAAAGAACTAGGCGTTCTTTAAACAATGCATCCCAGACACTTTGTTCATTTTAAATTGGAAGTTTCCTACATTAGCATACTGTACAAAGTAAGGACAACAAACAATAAAGGAATACATTTCTTTAGAAGTAAATTAATTCTAGTGCAGCTCTTCTTTCCTGCCGTTTAGTCAATTTAAAATATGTATCAGACAATACTGAAAGGTTTGCAATAGAAATATATTTCATCATGTTTCCTTTCATACTGATAACCATCCTAAGCTCTTCAACAAATTGCCTGAGTATTATAATTTTTTTACAGAAGTTGTCTTTGTGTATTAACTCATATTTTTTGATTAAAAAGTTCTGCCAGTTAGGACTAGTTCCCTGTAAATAAAAGCTGAGAAATAGAAACACAAGCACTTATTTCTGTAAAGATACTTGGTTGAGATTTTCAATTTTTGTGTTTATTGGTATTCAAGATTATATTTCATTTCAATTTAAAACTTCTTTTCCCATTAGAGCATTTTGTGAATTATGTATGCAATTATTAAAATCAAGCTGATAGTTTTGTTAGCTGGGGAATTGGTATTTAATATTATTAGTCTCAAAACTATTATTTGAACTGCATAGACATCTAGATAAGTATTTTTTTCCTTATTATTAGGCAAATTAGGACTTGAGAGGGAGGAGATGAGAGAAGAAGAGTTCTTTTTTGTAAAATTACCAAAAGCCCAGTACTTACAGAGGTTTTATAACTAAGAAAGGTTCCCTGCTACTGTTTTTTTCTTGTTAAATAACAGTCACTCAGGGATGACTAATGCATTATATTCTGTTTTTTGTAGAATTTTCTAATTATGGGTTAGAACTTAGACACAATGCAAAGAAGGAAAGGAACACAAAATGCATCACCTGTTAGGCACAGGGGAGAATTGCAGATGATAATGAGATTAACTGTTGATTATATTTGTGAGGGGAGGAAGTGATGAAGTTGGCACAGCAGGTGATTCAGCCCATTGCTTTTTGGTTTTTTGGTTCTTTACCTTCTCCAGTGGCGTAATTGCTAAGCATTTAACTATCTGCTATGTACCAGTTACAGAATTCATTGTAGACAACAATAAATCACAGAAATTTACTGGAAAAAATATGTTGCCACTGATTTTTGACTTTTTTGGTGCCACACTGAAACATACTTGACAAGTACTTAGAATATAATCATAGAATGAGCTTCTCATGTTTTGTATTGCCTTTGTATTAAAATTACATAATAGGGACCTACATGTAGTATAAAAAAAGCTAATTCTGTTGTATTTTGTATTTTCTTACTTTTCCCTTATGATGATTGAAAATATAAAGTAAAATTACAGTTATCACTTGAAAAAATAAAGTAGTAGTGCTGACCATGCTACTAAAAAGAATTTTTCAGTATGACCAAAATGTTGTTGTTTTTTTTTTTAAAGATAAATATTTTAATACACTGGATTTTTGAAAGGAAGTTTATTAAAGTGTCTGTATTTTTATGCTCTAGCCTTCAGTATTCTCCTCAACTCTGAACACGTGGTGTGTTTTGGCCAGGAATACTATTCGTGCTTTCTTTGCCTTTGTAATAATATTTCAGTGAAAGTTGCTAAGTACATTTTGTATCTTGACTGGAATATCTTTAGTGTGAAGTCTGCAAGAGTTAAAATATTGGATTTAGTAACCTGTGGTTCTCATTTTGTGTAGTATCAGTTAAATTATAGGCTCTTGTTCTTCTAGGTCCAGACTTGAACCTGAGCAGACCAATGTGTCCAAATCACCTCTTTCCACTGAAAAATCTTCATTAAATCCTATAGATGATTCTGAAGAAAAACTTTCTGCTGAGGAAAGCAAAGGTAAGAATAAAATGTAGTTATATTTTACTATTTGTGGCAAGGCCTGTCTGGTCAATAGTACTTCTTTCTCATTAGAAGTGCCAATTGCTGTGACTTGAATCTTCCTTGAGCTGATCAGGCTTTTGAGAAGCATACTGAGAGACTGAGGAAGCAAAATCTAAAACTTTTTGACATGGCAGCTAAACAAGTCTTATGCTTTGCTGAATTCCTCATCCTCTTAATGAGTTCTGTGTGAACTTTTTCCTTTTTATTTATTTTTATCAATATCCTATCTTCTGAAATTTGTCTGATTTTTCCATATTCCCTTCACTGATGGCAAGTTATTAGAAAGTAGGTCAGTGACTTTCTGGGAAGATTCTCTAGTTTCTAAGCAGAGAGACCTTGAGTTGGACACTTCTACATAGCAGCTTGAAGGTAGAATATACTCACAGAGGGTTACTGGCTGGCCAGATCCAGTAGTTTTGGGAATTTCTCCACAGCATTGAGCTTCCCTTCTGGGATGATTGAATCTCATCTTTCAGTGGGCAGGAGATAACCAGAAATCCAAAGCAGTATCTCTGACCCTTGGGTCATTCCAGATGGTGCAGTTCTTGACAGGACTTGTGAACATTGGTTCTGATTCCTTGGTGGCCTGTTTCTGAGGCCAAGGGATATAAGTCCCTTCCCTTAGTCATTTCAGTCTGTCCCGGGATGTGTACACCGGCAGATCTTTGGAGCAGAGTGCCTTTTGGACTACCACCCCTAGGCAGATAATTTCAGGTTTCATGCCTAAAGAGAAATCTTGTTTCTGTCATTCTGGAGTTGCTGTCCCTGGCTTGAGTTCTCTGGCTTGAGCTGTCTAGAGGAGACCAAGGTACCCTGTGATTGACAGCAGGAATTTTTTTTCTTTAATTATGTTACATTCGGAAAATATTTCATCAAGATAGTACAAATGCAATGGTTATCCAAGTTATTCTGATAAACAGTTGTTGTTTCTTTAGTGATTTTTATTAAAAGAGTGAAGTTCGTCTGCTTAGTGACTCCAGGGCCATCCAGAGGGTGGATTCATGTGAAGTGGGTACTCCACTTCTGGATGAAGACTCTAATACTGAATTATGGCACAGCGTGCAAACGTTTTTTGATATGTTATTGCTTATCTTCCTAGCCAGTTTGTACTCCTGCAACCCTATCAGTATGCTTTTTTCCCCCCTGATGCTGAATTTATTGTAAGAAGCACAGGTTTTGATTATGTGCCGTTTCTAGTGGTTACTACCTTTTCACGGTCTGTCATGAGTGAGGCAGCACACAGGCATATAGACGAGTTTCACCTTAACACGTTATCAGTGGTTTGCAGCTGTGAGCTGGTGCCACCAGAGAAGCAGCAGCACAGTAGCATCTTCATTGCTTTGTGCTCTTTCCTTGTTACCAAATGCCCCCACAATCCCTGGAAGTGTGCACTCCCACCATGTAGTGTCATTACAGTTTTTAGCTCCAAAAGTCTGCACCACACCATGGAAAATACTGTTCTTTGTGTGCCTTGGACACAGCAAACCACTGCAGTAAATAGAAATGCAGCTTTGTTTATTGCATGTTAATTTTGATTACTTCAGTTTTCACTTTTATGAGTTTATGCTTTAATTTTTATGAGAAAGTAGGGGTCCTGCCACGCAAGTGATGCTGATGTCCTTTAGAAGGACTGCTGACTAGACTTTGAGGAAAATTATGGAACTTGTATATCAAAACATATCTGTCTGAAAGAGTTTGTAAATGCACACAGTCTGTGATTCCTCACATAAGTCCTGGTTGCTGCTGCTTATAGAAATCAGCCTTGTGACTTTGCTGGTAGGTGGTTGTTGAAGCGTGAAAATAACATGAACAAGATGACGAGGAAACCAGAAGCTCAGTTTAAATCTTACAGCTTTTGATTTTTATTTTTTTTCCAAGTAACTTTTCAAATTTTTAAAGAAGTGGAGAAATTATCACATTAAAAATAAACTATTTCATCTTCAGGATGCTGGTGGTTTAGAGAGTGATGATAATGTGTTTTTATGAATTAGCCATCATCAACATGCCTGGATCTCTTCTGTTAAATTTCTCTGTAAAGATACTTGTGAGAGCAGCTTGTGGTCCTGTCCATAATTTGAGCACTGATGAACAGCTGAATGTCCTACTTGGTGTGCTAAAGCACAACTTGGGTTGTATCTGGTTTCTTTGGCAGAAACCAAACCAAAATGTGGTTACTTTTGTTTCGAGGCAAAGCACCTGTTTATATTAGAATTATAGTGGACGTGCCTCATGGTAGGGAAATAGACTCTCTAGAGATTGCTTTTATGTGCTGACAGTATTTATTTACATATTACAAATTTGACAGTTTATGGAAATAAATGTAAATAATGAGTAGCTTTTGAAGTGGTCCACAAGCTTAGCAGCTGTCTTTTTCAGTGTGGAAGAGGGATCAGAGGATTTGATGATTATTTTGTATCTTCATCATGAGTTAACTACTTCTCTTTCTGAATCAGAAATGTAGTTTGTTTTTTGCTGGCTGAGTTGCAGAAAAGCATTATTGTCAGCTCTTTGAAAGCTGCAGAGAGCCCAAAATGTACCATGGTGACAGGAAGAACCCAGGGGAGATATGTGTTTCTTGCTTACCTATTACCATAAGTATAATTGCTTACTAGCAATCACATTGGATACAGGTACTGTTTTTTTAACAGTGCTGAGAGTGCCTGAAAGTAATTGGTTCCACTGGGATAAAATAGGAACATGTCTTTTTTTTTTTTAACTCCTCCATAAACTAATTATCTTCTTTTGTTTGAATACAGTAAATAATTTTAAATTCTTGTAAATTTAAAAAATGTAAATACACTGATTACCTAAATAAATTAGTTTTGTGTTTCTGTGAAATAGACTTGAAATACTGATAATACCCAAGGGAAAAAAAAGAGTAAAATACTTTGTAAAAATCTTTAAAGATATTCTTGGGTTTATTTCTTATTACTCAAAAGAAAGAACTGATTTTTTTTTTTTTAATATATTATATTCCTTATCCACATCCCTCATTTGTAATGCTGCCATTGTTTGTGCCTCCTGGTTTGGTTGTTAGAAAACCAAAAAAAAATTATAAAGGAGGCATACACAACAATACTCCTTTACGATATTTATTTTTCAAGAGTTTTCACAAATACTATTGTGAAGGATAAAAGGGAAAACTTCTAATAACCCTTTTCATATATGTGTTTATAAATAGCCCTACTCTTTTCAAAGGCTTCCCAAGACAGGTTAGTATCTGAATGTTGATGCATCAGTGCTGCATATGCAATTGAAAAAAAAATAGGTTTAGAAGGTTATAACAAAATAAATTAAAACAGTCATAAATGCCTGAAAAAATTGACTGGGATAAATAGGAAGCTGGCATGTATGGAAAAAGTAAAAGCTAAATCTTTCTGTATTTTAATTTGCAACCTGCATCTGATAAGTCCAAGCAGGTTCAGCGTTGATCCATTGTGAGGTGGTGCAAATCTCTGAGTTTTGTAAAAATGTCACAGCCAGTGGAGAGAACAGAGGCCCTCTCAAGGGTATAGTCTTATCATGAGGTTTTTAAACACTGATGCTAAAAAAGCTTCAGAAACCGTAGGTTCCTTTAGCATAGTTTCTTTTCTTCACCGTTCTAACTTCTTTGTCTATAATCAGAAGTGTATAATTAAACCTAAAATTAAATCTTCCAGAAGGGAATATCCCAGAAATAGCTGTTCAAGATCTTTTATGCCCAACTCCTGCAAAGATTTATGCAGATGATTAGCTTTAATCAAAGGGGAAGTACTGCTGAAATAGATGAAGCAGCTTTGATGTGTTGAGGTTAATTTCTGAGATTGGAGCTGATTCCTGTTATATGCAGGAAGACCCCTTGCACAGTGTGGTGTGGGATTTGAGCTGTAACAGGAAGTTTGAACAGCATGAGGAAATGGAGTTTGTCCTGTGAACTTTGCACAAATTATCTTTGAAATTCTGTTTTTAGTTTTTGGAATGAGTAGCTGGTGGTACTGTCAAGTCTCATTGGAAGATAATAGTTTGCATATAGACTGTTATTTTGAAAATTGTGTGGTTTTGTCTGTTGGAAGACGACTGCTACAGTATTTTGTGCCCTAAAAACTCTTAGTGCATTGTGAGTTGTTTTACATCTTTCACTGTAGGTATGTTAGTGTGACTCCTTCTAGTTCCTAAATTAAACATGCACAAAGGCTTTTGGCCCAGTTTGGATGTTAAAGGTTTTCAATGTAATTTCATGCTGTAAATGTAGGGTGAATCCCAGTTATGACAAAGGAGATACAACAATTTCATCAGCAGTCTAACATGGCTGAAAAGTTATTTTCACTTTACTATTCAGTGCCCTGTATTGTCTCAAGTGTTTGGTGGTTTTTTTACAGACAGGAATCTGCCTGATGCCCAAAGTAACCTTGGATTATGGGGGGATGGCAAAGGAGAAGATGAGCTGTCACCTGAAGAAATACAAATGGTAAGTTTATCCTGTGTCTTATTGTCTGTTTTATCATATTTTCTGCAGTATTCTTATGTGTTAAAATGATAGTACAGATTCATCCAAATTAATTTTTAACATTCATTTTATGCAGAATAATGCCATAACAAGATACACCATTTGCATGTGACTTCCTGGTTCTTCTGGTAGCAACTAATATTTAAAATTGCTACAAAATATTTACATGGAGACATGAAATTAGTACAACTAATTTTCAACAATTGAAATTAAAATTGCTTTTTAAAAATTACAATCATTAGCTGCTTTTTTTTGGTCAGGAAACAATAGAAGGCAAGGCAACATCAGAAGCAGCATTATGAAACTTCTGAAAGAATAAAGTGTTGGCACTTTTTTTCTTGGACTGTTTTTAGGGCACAACTTAAGCAGTTGTACTGTTTAACTATAAAGTTATACTTCATTTTATTTCTTTTTATTTTTTTATTATTAAAATCAGATTGGTTTCCTAGAAAGAATAGATATGTCACAACAGAATTTCATGAATTTTAACTTTTTTGCATTTCCCTGTTATTAGCATGTTTATGTACTGATTGATCCAATTATGCTTACAGTTGAACTGATATAGTAGAAAATTTCTGACAAAGTCATGGTTGCTGACAACTTCTCAGATTTTTTGATTATCCCTAAAATGTATCATTTTGAACAGAGTTCAAAATTCTTAGAAAACCTCTCTACGTAAGCACACATTGCCTTGGGTTTATATGAAGTAAATCAAAAATATATTTCAGTCAGTAGTTGTGCAGATTTCAGAACAGTTTAACTAACGGAGAGGGCTGCTGCAGAATGAGTTTGTGAAGCTTCCTTGGCAGTTATTAGAAGTGTTCCCAGACATGCTATGCATCACCCTTCCAGTCAGAGATGAGTAAGTTGCATGTAATTATGGTTTGGTTTGCTAAAGAGGAAAGGTTCTTCAGAGGCTGCTCTGTGTGCTCTCATAGTGTTCTTGAGTGCCACTCTAAAATCTGAAGACTTACTCCTGCTTTCTGTTTTCATATTAAAGAGAGCTTTTTGCATATTTTCATTCTCCTGTCTTTAGTCACAATACCATGAGCCCCCTTGCTTCCAGAGGAACGGGGGAAATGAGAATCAGAGGTGATGATTCTGACAGGGCCTTCTGACTGACTGCTAAATGGGGGTTGTGTTTTATAGGCCTCACACTGTAATTAAGTTTTAAATGTGTTTGTTACATCCCTTGTCATGGTATTTTGGGAGTAAATACATTTCTTTTTCATGAAATCCTATCATACCTTTATACTTTTCAGAGTAAGGCTGCAGATAAGACAGAAATCTATGTTCATAGTTTAATGATTTGAAAGATTTCTGGACTCCTAAAATGTCCAATCCAAAACTGCTTATTAGGCATTACTTGAGTGTTAGTAGGAGCCCCTGGTGGTCTAGGGGGTAAAGGCGCCGCGCTACCACCGCGGAGACCCGGGTTCGATTCCCGGTCAGGGCCACTCCCGGGCAGGTGGGGCTCGTTAGCCCTTAAAGGCAACCCACCTACGTCCTAAGGACCTCGCTGCCACCGTCCAAGCTCGCTTGGCCCCGGCAGATGAACCTTAGGATTAAAGGGTGGGCTCAGTTCCGCGCACACTGTGTCTCACCTAAAAAATCCAATGCGCAGGCTGGAAGGTGGAAAGACCTTCCCCGGATCTTCGCTCGCGAAGACTGGCCATTATTATTATGAGTGTTAGTACTGATAGTAAAAAAGTAGAATTGAAAAAAGCATACAAAGGGTAGGTACCACTACAACACCCTCCTCTCAGCAGAACAGCCTTCCCCAATGAGGGTCATTTCTTGTCACGTAGTTCTTTTCTGTTGGCTTTGAATACATATTATAGGAGTTGACAAACTGTAAACAGAGTGGTATATTTGTGTAATATGTATTTGTACACAGCAGGTTTCAAATGTAAATGTTGCTCCAATATGTAGATGCTGTGCAAACCACCTCTCTGTTCTGTGGACAGATTTTTTTCCCCTTAGGTTTGTTGTTCTGTTTTAGAACACTATAATTAGCTGAATTACAAACACTAGAGATGTATGTGGTGACTATTCCACAGAAAAACTGCTCTTTCAGTGCCTTTTTGAGGAAACTTAGAGCTAAGAGTTGACCTTTATTAGTAAAAGTTGGATTCTATATAATTTCATTCCTAAAAGACTTTAAATTCACTAGATCCATTATTCTGATTTTCAGGTAAATCTGTATCCAAGGTGTAAATGTAGGTGTAACTAGGATATAATCTGAGCATTTGAATGTGCATTGCTTTCTTCACTGCTCATCTAAATCCTTTAAGTTATGCAAGGAGAGGTTAAAGTTATGCAGGGAGAAAATTAGAAGGGCCAAAGCCACCTAGAACTTAATCTGGCTACTGCAGTAGAAGACAATAAAGAAATGTTTTTAGAAATGCATTGGCAACAAAAGGAGGGCTAAGGAGAATCTCCATCAAGTACAGGACATGAGGGGAAACTAACAAAGCCTGAGGACAAGGCTGAGGTACCTAATATCTTCTTTGCCTCATTCTTTAATAGTAAGACCAGTTGTTCTCAGATACCCAGTGCTGAGCTGGAAGACAGGGATGAGGAGCAGAATGAAGCTCTCATAATCCAAGGGGAAATGATCAGTGGACCTGCTTTGCCACTTAGACATACACAAGTCTATGGTTTGAGTAGGATCCAGCCAAGGGTACTGAGGATGCTGGTGCAAATGCTCACTGAGGCATGTTGCGTCATTTACCAGCAGTCCTGGATAACTGGAGGGGTCCCAGTTGATTGGAGGCCACTAAATGTGACACCCGTCAGCCCAGAAGGGCTGGAATGAGGATCTGGGGAACTACAGCCCTATCAGCCTGACCTCAGTGCTGGGGAAGGTCATGGAACAGATCATTTTGAGTGACATTATACAGCACTTGCAGGACAACCAGGGGATCAGGCTCAGCCAACATGGATTTATGAAAGGTGAGTCCTGCTTGACCAACATGATCTTCTAAGATGAGGTGATCCACTTAGTGGATTAGGGAAAGGCTGTGGATGTCTCTACCTAGAGACATCTCTAACTTTACTCAGTAAAGCCTTTGACACCATTTCCCACAGCATTCTCCTGGAGAAACTGGCTGCTTGTGGCTTGGACAGGTGCACTATTTGCTGGGTAAAAATGGTCAGATGTCCAGGCCCAGAGAGTGGTGGTGAATGGAGTTAAATCCAGCTGGTGGCTGGTCACAAGGGGTGTCCCCCAGGGCTCAGTACTGCGGCCACTCCTGTTTAATATCTTTATCAATGATCTGGACAAGGGGACTGAGTGCACCCTCTGTCAGTTCGCAGATGACACCAAGTTGGGTGGGAGTGTTGATCTGCTGGAGGGCAGGAAGGCTCTGCAGAGGGGTCTGGACAGGCTGGATCGATGGGCTGAGACCAATTGTATGAGATTCAACAAGGCCAGGAGCCAGGCCCTGCCCTTGGGTCACAACAACCCCAGGCAGTGCTACAGGCTGAGGGAAGAGTGACTGGAAAACTGCCCATTGGGAAAGGACCTTCAATCCTGTGTTCAGTTTTGGGCCTTTCACTGCAAGAAGGACATTGAGGTGCTGGAGTGTGTCCAGAGAAGGGCAGTGGAGCTGGTGAAGTGTCTGGAGCACAGGTCCTGTGAGGAGAGGCTGAGGGAGCTGGGGGTGTTTAACCTGGAGAAAAGGAGGCTCAAGGGAAACCTCATCACTCTCTACAACTCCCTGAAAGGAGGTTGTATCCAGATGGAGGTCGGTGTCTTCTCCCAGGTAACAAGTGACAGGACAAGATGAAATGCCTTCAAGTTGCCCCAGGGCAAGTTCAGATTGGATCTTAGGAAAAATTTCTTCACTGAAAGGGTTGTCAAGCACTGGAACAGGCTGCACAGGGAAGTAGTGGAGTCACAATCCCTGGAGGGATTTAAAAGATATGTAGACATAGGACTTAGGAACATGGTAGTAGTGGCCTTGGCAGTGCTGGCTTAGTAATTGGACTTGATCTCAGAGGTCTTTTCCATCCCAAACGGTTCTATAAAGAGGGTAGGTTACACAACTGCTGTGTTGGTTTTAAACTGGGATATGTTGTGTGTCAAATCATACTTAACAAATCTCAGTCATGGTTCTGTGATCCTTCCTGTAGATAAAATAATGAATTAAAGCACTGTCATATTGCTAGAGCAGCAATTTCTATCAGTATTTTATTCTCAGGAGAGAGCCTGAAATTGTTCAAAATGTTTGTAGGTTATTGCATGATTTGCACAATAAATTTCAGTTTATAACTCTGAGTACAGGTGTATTAAGGGTTTTTATAGTTACTGTGAGCAGATATCTTCTGGTTGCATTAACTGGGGAAAAATCTGGCTCTGACATTTAGAGTTGTAAAAATATCTTCTCTATCTTTTTTTGGTTGGCTTTGTCTTAAATTCAGGAACAGCATATCTAATGATTTCTTTTATGGTGTAACAAAAAGAAGTGGTGATTATTTCTTTTATGCATTAGATTTTTAGCCATATATTAAGCAGTTTGTCACTTTATGCTATATTTTGCTAACAGAATATTTCACTATCATAAAAGAGGCTACTTCAATAAGCCATAAATATATTGAGCTCTACTGACTGCTAGAGCTTAGTTTTAGGTTCCCATCATGTAAATCCCTTTGTGACACACTGGTATATGATGTGTTCAGTGCTCTAACCCTTTGTTAAATTGACTGTTTTAGCATATCTTAACTGCTGTCTGTGCCAAGTGCTTCATCAGCCATGATTTCAAGTTGCAAAGATCATTTAGCAGTTTAGAAGGTAATCTGTGCCAGTGGAGGATTTTAAGTATCAAAGGGACTTTTTAAAGAATACTTTCTCAAGTGGATTTGTGCTATTTATAAGGGATTAAAATCATTCACTGTTTCTCTATTAAAAATCTGTCTTCTAAATTAGTTGTCATCTCAGTTTTACTAAGGCAGCAAAATAGGGAATTTCTGATGTTGAGTATTTTACAGAAATACTTATCCTTACAGAAGTCAGAAAAACAATTACAGCTTGGTGGCCCCACTTAGTCGCTCAAGGAGCAACCAGTCATCCCAGCACTAGAACTCGTGGCTCTGTTTCACTGCTCTGTTCCTTGGCTTTGTTGTGAGGTGACTCTGCCAAAACCAGACATACAGTGGTGTGAACATAAAGGAGTGCAGTGGTGAAACACCTTTAGCCATCCACCGCTATGAAGTAAATATCACTGTATTTTAAGCAATTATATTTTAACAAATGGTCTGCTCTGTAGGAGGAGTCACTACTGACAGCAATGACTTGCAACACCAATATTTTCTTATTTAACAAAACCATTGGATCTTTAGAGTGGAAATCAACGGGACTTCAGGGAACTGTGTAGTATGTTGCTCTGTTCCCACTCAGCTCATGGGGCTGGATGCCTTCACTGAGGCCTCTACCCCACAGTGAAGGTGACAGTGCCCAATAACCCTCCTCTTAGACTCTCTGGAATCCTTTAACCAAAGAGAGAAAGCTGTTCTTGCCAATCAGGTAGACAGTGAACCTCTAGTACAAAAAGAAATCTGTATGTTAAGGAAATAAAAAGTAATTTTTCTTTATACTTCATGACAAAAATTGCCCATGTCAGGAAACTAAACTGTTTTCTATGAGATTCACTGTTACCCTTCTTCAAACATACCTGTCATTTAACACTCGCTTCTGTGAGATTAAATCTACAAATTTCTGATTTTTAGCAGTAACAACTTCACCTTAAGGCATGCAGTTGACATTTAATATGCTCCTTACAGAGAGTCAGGTACTGTTTCTCTGAGGCTCTGATGGGCCTGAAATAAGATGAAAAATGTTACAGCACAAAGTGTAGGGGACAGGGGCAACGGTGTGGGAGGTGATGGAGGGAATAAAGGTGAAGGCTGTGAAAGCTGCCTTGCCTGTTCTCAATTTCCTACTTTTCTGGGCTGCTCTGTGTCAGTGCAGAATCCTTGCACAGCTCCTGCTCTCTACTCTCCCTTAAGCCAGTCCTATCTTGTCTGGCCCTGTGGTGGGATTCAGTTTACTAATCTCCCAGAAAACTCAGGAGGAAGGAGTGGTTAATGAGCTAAAATGTCATACTGTGAAATCAGACAAGCATCACTTGCTTAGGATTTGTAGGCAGAGAGAGGAGCAGGACAAATTCCTCAGTGGCTGCACTCAGTAATTTTCACATGATTTTCACTAGATCGTTTGCACCCTCAGTAGTGTACAAGCTTTAGGCTTCTCTTAGTATTTGATAGGGTAGAAGTTTCAGCTGGAACACTGCAGATCATTTCAGGGGATGCTCACATCAGTACCTGAAGCAACACACAAGAGGTGTTGCACAAGCTGTATAAGGAAGATCTTACGAAGATCTGGATAGAGATGCTGGTGGCACAATTGGGGCAGGGTGGAGGGATCACAGTGGGGTGCCAAAGATCTCAGCAAATGTGCCCATGTAAATGTACTTCTACAGAATGGCTCTGTGAGAGAAGCAGTGGCTCAGGTGAAATGTCTGTCATAATTTTCATTTTGCATCTTCATGACTGTTGTTTAAATTACTTTGAGTATCAAGTGCTTCATTTTCAGCTATTTCAGTAGCATTGCTCTGAAAGAAAAGTCCCCATTTGCCTTTCACTGTTCTAACACAACCCATGGTATAACCATAGTGCTTTGGGATTCAGACCCTTTCCCTCTCTCTTCTTTTGCTTTTTGCTCAGGACTGTATTTTTTCAAATCCTTACTTTCTTTGGGCAGTGTCTCCTTTTCTTGCCAGCTTAATTGTTGGGTATGTGCTCAGATAGCGAGCAATTCCTGTGGCACCGACTGAGAACCAAGTTGGAACTGTAAGCAGTGCTGTTTTGTTGGCATTTCCACCTTTGACAACACTCTGCTCTGCCTTCAGAAGGATAATGAGTCCTTGCCAGGTGGCTGAGAGGACTGCTGCATTTTTACTGCTAATGAAACTGCAGCATGATTGAATTATGCCAAAGTCCTAGTGTGTTACATAGGATAGTTCAAAATGGGGAGATTAACTGAACTGGAACAGGGCTCACTCTCTTGCACAGCTCCATTGTCCAATTCTTTGCATTCTGAATCCTGTTTTCTGGCACTCACACTGCAGTGTATCTCACTTGGGTTTGCCAGAAGCACCTAGCAGCAATGTTTCCAGCAGAAATGCGTATCCTGCGTGCTCCTGCTGTGTAATTGCACAGGACAGGTGTTTCCTAGCTTTGTGACAGAAGTGCAAAGCCTTGGTCAGTTGTGTCCACACCACGAAGGGCCAGCTGTTACTGAGGCTTTGGCCCAAGAGAACTGCTAGGACACCTTGAATAAGCTTCCCCTGCCCCCTCCAACATTGGGCCTGTGACCCTTCCCAGAGGAACTGCTCTGCTGTCCCTGATGGCAGGACTTTTTGGCTGGGACAGACAGGCTGCAGAGCTCCCTGAGAGCAGCTGGGGGCAGCAAGCAGGGAGCTGCAGGCCCCCATTGGCTTTCAGACCCTAAGACCAAACTCATGCAGGCCCTTTGAAATGAAAATCCGAGCTCTGTGTGTCCTAATGCTAAAACAGCCCTCATCACATGGTTTCCAGTAAGATCCACTGGGAGACCCTTCTCTCCAATATTATGGCTGTGCATATTTTGTTTCCACAAATCCTGTCGTCATACTTAATGCATGGTCACTTGTTCTGTAATGAGTCCCAAATTATCTGGGAGTCAGGTACGCTTGAAAAGCCAAAGCTTATTTCCCTGCATAAAGCCTTCTATTTATGCCTGTATTTGACAAATGCAGTGTTAACAATATATTTAAATGTTTCATTAAATACTCATGAGTTTTAAATGGAAGAGCTCTTCTGGAATAACTAAAGCCAGTGCATTTATAAAGTATTTCATACTGCAGCAAAATCTAAAGGCTCCTAAACTTCATTCCCCCAGCAGTACATGAATGTAAATGACAGTGCAAGAGAATCACATGCTTTCACAAGCATGAAAGATTTCTCCACTAAAATTTCTAAAATAATATAAAAAGATTCATCCACTATATCCTTCCTTACTGCTAAGTAATTTGAGTAACTTTAAGACTGTTTTAGCTGAGACATACTGTAATGGATGGCAAGGAAAGGGTGGGAGTTGGTTGATTGCCATGGGCATTAAGAAGGGTCCCTGAGTCCAAGCATCTGAACTCATGTGTGTCATTTCCTTCCTTTTTCCAGTTTGAACAGGAGAACCAGAGACTTGTTGGTGAAATGAACAATCTCTTTGATGAAGTCAGGTACAATTTTCTGTTACTCAACAGACTGGGGCACAGTTTACTGGCTGCACGACATCTGCCTGCCCCAACTGGAGTGGTGTGGGAAGAGGCGGGATGAAACAGGAGCACCCAGGAAAGGTGCTGTGTGCTGTCCCACAGTGTAAAAAATGATTCTGAGGGTCACACAAACTATATAGAATAGTACTGGTTAAATTGGGAAGGCTTACATTCTCCCTTACCCACGTTTTAAAATACTCGGTTTTCCACTCCCATCCCATTTTCCGCTGCATACACAGACAGCAGTGGGGGAGGAGCCATCACTGACCCTGAGCAGAGACCTGGCTATGCTTACAGTAGCACCATTCACCCTCCCTTGCTGTGCAGAACACTTGAACAACTACTCAAGCTAGAAACTGGTTTCTGGATTGTTAGTCCTAGGCAAGGTGAATTCCACAGGTCACAGTAGCATATAAAGAGGGTATGTTAAAATCAAGTGCTTAGGGCTCAACATGATGTTATATGAGATGGAAGAAGGGAGACAGATGAACCCTGGCAGTGAAGGCAGCTTGCTGAGCGCTGCTGGGTAATGCCTTTTCCAGGGCTCCTCTATGGGCTGGTTGTTTTCCAACCAGGAACATCCGAGCCCTGATCACAGGCTAGTGCTGCCCCACTGAAGGCTGACAGTGGCCACTTACTGGACTGGAGAGTCTCAATCTGCAACAGCAAGACATGTTTTCACTTAGTTTTTTAATGGAGTATTTCTCTTCTTTGCCAAGACAAATTGAAGGAAAAGTGGTGGAAATCTCCAGACTACAAGAGATATTCACTGAGAAAGTCTTGCAACAGGTTAGTGTATTTTAATACTGCGGCAGCAAGTACAGCTTGAAGATTTTCTTGGGGATACTTTGGTCTTGCTTGCATGCAATGTGTAAACGTAAGATCAGTGAGTCTTTGGAGCAAATGTGAAGGAAAAGATTTGTGTTTTTCAAATTCAAAATCAAGATATTCACTGTTGTTACTTATTAGCGCATACTGGGAATGGAAAATACAACATATGTGCTAGGATGATTCCTCTGCCTCAGAACTGGTGTTCTGTTAAATGTGTTCTTTAATAACATCCTTTCTGGAAATTGTGCCACCTCTTCCAAAAGAGCTGGGAAATATCAGACAGGTTAAATTTGATTCTGGATAAGTGAGAGACTTCCTACTGATCTTGGTGGTCTCCATTCAGCCTCATAACAATCACAGATAAAGAAGTTACAACTTAATTGTAATTACTCTATGCCTTTGCATCAATGAAACAAAGATGTTAGTAATAGCAGATTTGATTTTATTTTTGAGTTCTGCCTGTTCCCCAAGTGCTTGGAAGTGTTATTTTTCCTAACATTCATTACTGTTTCTCAATTTTATTTCTTTTTTAAACAGGAAACTGATATTGACAATATCCATCAATTAGTTGTGGGTGCAACAGAGAATATCAAAGAAGGCAACGAAGACATAAGAGAGGTAAAGTCTTGAAGTTGTGTTTTAAACTGACTTGTTTCTCTTATCTGTTTTTCCCAAGTGTTGCTTTAAACAGCTCATGAGAGCTCACCCATAGGGACTGGTGCAGTGGGTGCTGGGTTGTCAGGACATGGGTTTGGGAAAACTGTACAGGTTAGCTGAGGTTCTCATTAGTTCTCACCATGATCTGAATAGCTCACAGGTCTGCAGAAATCTGCTTGGCCTCATCAGTTTTTTAAACATGAAGGTCACCTGGCTTGCATTTAAGCACCTGTGAAGTTGGTTTAAAAAAAAGGTGGGGAGGGACCAGAAATTGCAGACTACAATAAAATACAGTGCTGAAATCGTTGAAACTAGAGTTAAACTTCTCACATGTTCCTAGTAAACAAATCACTTCTGTTATCTTACTAATTAGAAGGAAAAGATGCTTTCTTTCAGTAACTGAGATTTCAATAAAAACAGAACTGAGCCTTTTACTCAATAGCCTAATTTAGGAACTCTTTCTTCTCCCTCCTGAGAGCATATGGAAAAGGTATCAAAAGGATGTTAATTACTGTTCTGCTCTCCTGAAAAGTGCATTAAATGTGGCAAGAACTGGAATTATTTTTCTTCATTTTTCATGTTTTTAAGTAGAACTAAGTTTCCTAAACCACACTGAGAAACAGCAGCAAAAGCTGCTAAATACAAAACTTTGTCATTCACAATAATGTTTGTACCATGTAAAAAAAAAATCTTCCATCTGTAAATCTGAAACATGAGAGCGAAAACCAAGTCCCCTGGTACATGCTGGTCTCAATTTTGGGAAGAAGAATCCTAGAAAAATTTGTTTTAAATCAGATGTTTAGTAGCAAGATGAAGGCCTTATTACTTCTAATCATGGAATTTCACTTTTGGGACTTGACACTAATCAAGAAGCATGTACTTTTTTATGTAGTTCTTAATGTTTTGAGTTCAGTTGTATGGGATCTTGGTTTTTTGTTTTGTTTGGGGTTTTTTTGTTGTTTTGTTTTGGGGTGTTTTTTTTGTTTTTTAAATGTCCAATTTGAAAATTTTCAGTGTGACTTCACTGATAAAATCTAAAGAGGTACAGCCTACCTGGCCTATATTTACCTGAAATTAAGGGCCAATTATGTTACTTCTCACGTGGGAGGGAAGGGTGATGCCGCTAACAGGCATCCTGGGTTGCCATTGTTGAAATACTGTGTGTTTACTGGTGATGGTAACAGGGATAACCTTTTCCTCACAGGCCATCAAAAACAATGCTGGATTTAGAGTATGGATCCTATTCTTCCTTGTGATGTGTTCATTTTCCTTGCTTTTCCTGGACTGGTATGATAATTAATTAAACATACTATTGTCTATGTGCTTTGTTTTTAAAATGTCTTTTTTTTCAAGGGAGTTGGGTATATTGCATACCTACATATTTTATGCATTTTTCATACCTCTATGATGGAAATATTTTCTAATAAGTGTGTGCATATATCCATTAGTGCAGAGGGAACTGATAGCATTCACTTTAAATCCCTTTGTCAAATATAAAACCACACTTAATCCTTTAGAGGACACTCTTTAAAAGGGCTGGGAAGAAAGCTACAAGCTGGAGCAGAGCTAATGGAAAAAAATAAGAATACTGGTTTTGTCACAGCCACCCATCTGTGATGTTGAAAGTCCAGCTCCCATCATAGAGCAAGAGAAAAGTGTTACTGTGCAAAAGTATCTACACTCTCAGGTGTTTATTTACCACTTCAGTACAGAGTGATCACTTTGCACATCTATGACTTCTAATCCTTTGAAACTACTTGACTGAGAAATCAGCTTGATTTAATAGTAGCAATGATGATAAGGAGTCAAAGAGCTTTACTTCTAAGTGAAAAGAGGAAATACAGCACAGACAGATTGTGTAGAGAAACAGATGTTCTGGGATGCTGGAACAAAGCCAAAGGATAGACAATATTAAAGTCAAAGTACTAAAACTGGGAGCAGTTTGTTAACTAAGAAAAAAATACCTCAAAACCAGCTGTAGATAAGAATCAATAAACTCCTTCCTATTAAATCAGAGGAAAAATAATTTTGACTTCAAGAAGCATAAGCAATCTGCTTGTTCTAGATTGTAAGGCTTACTAATTTTTATTGTTTATTGTTACGAGGAGAAAAAGAAGTTGTTTCTCATCAGTATTTACTTGTGCATTAAAATTTTTATTGTCCTAAATTTAAGGGGAAGAGATGTATCATGAATCATTTCTATGTAGGACAGTCTTAGGGAACAGATCTCTCCATCCTGTAAAATACGTTGGGATGAAATGTGTGTGTTTTCATATCTCTTCTGAAATGTATATTTCTATACATTATATGCAACAAGCAGCATCATTCTTATTCTTTAGTCTGCACAGAGTAAAAATGTCAAAAGTTACATGTGAATGAATTACATTCAATAAAGCAGGTGCCTGTTAAAAACTGCAAACATGGTATGTGTTGAAGATCTTAACATAAGCTTTATATTTTTAAATGCAAAGAAAAAAACTGGCACATAATTTATTGCTTTTGATGCATTCTGCATACCATGATGACTTAATATATTAACAGCTTTTACAGCTGCACATTTCATTATCAAGCCTCGAGCACTGAGTCATAATGGTTATTTTTACTGTATTGGAATGAAAGGCTTTGATAAAGCAATTCTGCTGGAGAGAAACAGAAGTAGAGCTAACCATGTTTTTTCTATTACTGATCTTGAGAAACAGCCCATACTGATGTTTCCCTTTCAATTTTTTAATAGACTCTACCAAAAATAAAAGGAACTTTTGACATGTCCACTACCCCTTGTCCCATTCAAGTAACATGAACAAAAAGGTGATTTGCTTGCCTAGATGCTTCACACACTTATTTTGTATGTTAAATTAATAATATGTTCTTTGTAATGTATATTTAAGATTTATAATAAAAATGAAAACATGATTTCACACAAAGAATAGGTAAGTTTGTAATTACAATGGAACTTTAACGTGCATCCACAATACTATGTTCTTCTACGTCTTTTCCCCTCCCAAGCCATACACAAACAGTTCTACTCTTCACTCGGTTTCACATGTAGCTTTAAAACAGCCAGTTGTGGTATCTAATATGCTAGTTTCATTTGTGATGCTCTGTGTTTTAAAAAGTATCAAACTGCAAACCATACATAAACAGAAAGCTCTTTCTAATTAATAAAAAGGGAAAAAATGTGAATGTAATACAAGAGAAAATTTAGACATATTACTCCCTCAGTTGTATCCAACAAATGACATAGTAGACTACATGTACTCTTAAAGTACGATCAAAAGATCATCAAAAGATGTCACTTCTCATTAGAACATCCTGAACTGTATAGTTTTTACACTATCCTCAACACCCACCACTAAAACTGTCTGTGTTTTTCCATAATGTCTATCTAGTTTGTGTTTCAGTGCACATCCTTACCAAGATGCTAAAGCCACAGTGGAAATGCAGTTAAATCCTGTTGACAGCAATAAGAAAACATTGAGCATGCCTTGTTGCAGAGAACTTCATTATCACTTACAAATAAACAACAGTAAAGGAAACGTAAGGAAAAATGCGACCTGACAGTTTCTTTTTCCATACAAGTCATTACATTACGTCCCCGACATCAGTGCTGACTATCGTTCTTGCTTGAGCCCAAACTAAATATTACTTACAGCTTTCAGCTAAATGAGAGATCACTCTAGTTATGGCTGGGGTGTTTCAGTTTGCAAAATGACAAAGAATTAAAAAATGTAATAAATTAAGTATCTGTTCAGACAACAGAACACATCGTTTATCTAAGGTCCAAGCCCTGGAAATCCAGTGATGAAAGCTATCAGTATCCAATAAACTGCAAGAACATATCTAACATTGGACTTTTTTTTTTTTTTAACATTGAAAATGGTGTCAAAGCTCTACAGCAATGCTGATATGCACCTGGGGTTATGCCCATGAATGTTCTGCAGCAAGTTTTTGTTTTGGTTTTTTTTTTTTTTTTTTTTTGCAAAGCAGTATCAGCAAACAGAAGCAATTGCACCATAAACATGAGTAACCTCTAAATTATCCATAATTATATTCAATGAAAAGTTCCTTGAAGTCCCTTAGTTACCTTCAAATTACATATTTTTAATAATTCGCTTATCACACTAAGCTGATTTCTCAGCAGCTTCAGTCTCCTGTTCAGACAGTTTCTCTTCTGACAGTACTGTCATCCACGGGGACACGGAGCGCGTGATGGTTTGTTTGGCCAGGTTGTAGTGGTTTATGACTGTGTAAAATTTCCCTCGAGCGCTGGAATCTTGTTCAGAGTAGTAGTTTTCCAACCCAGCTGGAATGCACTGATTATTCTGAAAAGAAAATCCATCTCTTAGATTACAGATACAGCCCCACACACACCATCAGCAGATTAGGGGTTTTTTTCTCCTTTTCTTTTTAGTCTAAGCCAACAGTCACGTTTTGTGAGTCAAGATGCAATATACAGCAATTAACTACAGTGTTGTCCTACTGTGTTCAGAATGTTCTTCCCTGCACTTCTTAAACTATTCATGCATTTGCCAGGAAGACCAATCTGGGTTTATATGCCAGAATAATTAATGTAACATGCTTGCCTAAAATTATTTTTTTAAGTTTTCACTCTCTAGTTCCAGCCATATTTTGCTGTTTTTTCCTGCCCACTTAGTTCCAACTGTTTGGTTTACAACTACAGCTGTCGGTATCCTACCATTAGATTAACTTCAGGCAATTTGCTATTATGTTTGCAGTCCAAGGGATGGAAATTAATACAGATATATTGGTGCCAATGTATGAACAGTTTTACAGCCCAGTAACTAAGACATACAGGAAAACACTGTGGGTGGCCAAGCGTATGCACAAGTGTGTACACACATACAAAATACTTCACTCTTCATCAGAAAGATGTAGCCAACAGCACACTTAAAAAGTTCTCTGTAACTGTGGGACTGCATTATTTCATTTCCCAGAGTGCAGGAGCATTACATAGAACCTCCTAGATGCTTAGAGCTTTGGAGAGTGAAATAGGTGATTTAGAGGGTTAAATACTAAGTGGGATCCCAATTTTGCTGTCATCTTCAAACCCAAAGTGAGTGTGCCTGGGCCGTGCATTTGTCACAGGTCTTATCTTGCAACTGTTCCAGTGATGGTGGAGTAAGAGCCTGCAGAGAAGCTGGCTGCACTGAAGGAAAAAATGACTTGGACATATACTGTGACCCCTAGGTTTTGCCCCAGAAGGTCATGGGGTCTCTCTGCAGGTCCTCTTTCCACTCCAGCCAGTCCAGGCAGTCTTGCTTGATAACTCAGCATGTTGGGACAGTCACGTGAGCAAGTGAATTGACTCAGGAAAATAAGTTTAACCATCTCTACTCTGGCTGTTTTAAACAGAAATAGGCTGTTCAGTCTCCCTGCTTCCAGCACCAGAGCACTAAAACTTTTAGTATTATGGCACAGCAAGTTTGAACTCCTAATTTTCACCTACAGCTCAGCAAACAAACTTTTATACTGGAAATTTCTTAGCACAAAAATTCCATGGGTTTTAGGACCAGATGCTACCTCAACTGTGTCCACATTTACTTCTGAGTTCACTTTTGTCCTTGTCCACAAAAAAAAAAAAAAAAGAAGAGAAGTGGCATAAATAAGCGCCAGTAACAACAGTTTCAATTGATTAAAATCATACAGCACAAAATGGAGGAAGATCCAGCAGACAGTCTTGGCTTAATACAAATTTTGCATCCTAAAAATGTTAGTGTGAAAGAAAAGGCATCAAAAGGTAGGAAAGGAAAAAGGGAGACCTGCCAAAACAACAGGCCCATGGGTAGTCTTATGAACCTGCCTGCCCCTGGGGAATTCAATCACATGGCACATTTGATGTCTCAAAGAAGCCTCGCTGTACTAACAGCCCTCCCACAGACACAACACCTCACCGGCTCGAACCTGCAGGTGTGACAGAAGCCTTGGAAGTGTGTCAGACTTGTGACAGTGCCCAAAGTTACCACATCTGCCCAGGTTCCCTTTATTTGTTATTTTTTATCAAGGCAGCAGCTGGGGCAAATCTTCCCTCTCAGTTTTGTTGAAGTAGCACAACAAAGCAGAAGGGATTTAACCCCAGCTGAGCAGCACCTGTGCCTACTCAGCACTGTTTAAATCAGCAGAGGTTTTCAGCTGCAAGACTGGGATCTAGATTTATAAAAACATAATCCAGGAATGTGGAATAGAGCTACTTGATACACTTGTTCAATTACATCAATGTGCCATTTTCTGGAAGTATTATCCATGCTTTATCTGGGATAACTGACACTACTGCTGATGTGATAAATGGCTAAGAAGTACACAGACATATTTGTAGTGATTATTTCACCCAGTCATGGGATGTAGTCACAATTCTAAATATTTAGAATGGGGGAAGGAATACAATCCACTGAGCTAATGAAATCTGCAAAGGAAATTCAAGCAAATATAATTATTAGAACTGAAGACAAGTCAAAATTGACAGTCTTAAAAATGCCACAGAATCCTTCATTGCCTTTAGAAGCAGTTTGCTTTGTAACACGCAAAAATGACTCAGTAATGGTTTTTGGTATGTGTGTTGGTTGTTTGTTTTTGGTTTGTTTTTTGTTTTTTTTTTATAGTCACAAAAACGCACAACATCTGACAGAAGAGCCTAAAGAAACACACAGTAGTTTCCATCTTGACTGCATTTTTGCTCATAGGATTTTGTTCTTCTAGAAAAGATGGGAAAACCTTCCCTTTTACTCATTGCCCCTTGTGTTCTGCCCAGGGACAGCCCCATTGCTTAGTTCCCAATCACGGCAAGCCATGCAGCACCCAGTGACTGAGCTATGGGAACTGCTGCCAACTGTTATCCTGGCACTTGCCTAAGACTTTCAGCTATGCAGAACATTTCTCTCCATCCTTTTTGTTTTCATGGTTCCCAGGTAAGAGAAGTAAGAAAGCCACGAGGAGAAAGTGGGATGTTCCACAGTGAGTTGCCAGTCTCTTCTTTGTTTTACAGCCCTTCAATTTTGGAAATTAGTTACGGGCTATGGCCTTTGATGCCAGAGAAAACCCTGGATGCCAGCCTATATCTGGTTGAATTAAGATGACTCCTTTTGTTCCTTTGACATGAAGACCCCAGTGGTATTCACTTATAAATAGTACCTTTTGTCACGTTAACTTTGCTGGGTCAGTAATTCCCAATTACACAGATGATGGTGTGGTCTCCAGTTCCCTGAAATGACTTTGTGGTACCGTCCACAAGTCTGACAGAACGCAGGTGCTTTGGCAAAAAAAGCTGAAGGGTAACAGATATGGTACAGAGCATAATGAAGTCCTGGAGAAATTCTTCCAGGATGTAAGTGCACTCAGGTTCCGAGTCTCCCCAACAGGCTGTGGCCAGTGCTCAGAGGAGTGATCTCCACAGCAGCAGTACTAGGGCTGTCAGCTTAAGCAAGCACAGAATTAAGGCTGGAGCAAGTTCAAGACTGCTGTACAAAGGAAGATGAGCACCTTTTTAAACACACCTTCAAACCCTGGAGGCGTAGGACAGCAGAAATGTTTGGAACTGCTCCATGTATGAGAGCATCAAAGCAGAGAAGAGCGAGTCTGACTCAGCTGCAGTAGCTCAGCCTTTATGCAGAGATTCCTACAGCACCAGGTTTCCTGAAGCAGGGACACCTTTGCCCTTAACCAGGAAATCATATCAGCATCTCAAACGTGGGGACATCCAGGCCAGAAAATATTGTTGAGTCCACCTAAGCATGAAGCCAATCCACTGAGACATTGCTCACAAGGTGACAGACTTCACATCTCCTAGGACATGTGTGCCAAGCTATACCATATCATGGACTCTCCCCAAAACACATGCACAAGCAAACAAATAAAAATTCATCTCAACACTTGTAGTTTCAGGCCTTGTGTCATTTGCCAGTGTGTTTATCCTGTAAAACTCTTTTAGAGTTACATTACCAAAGATGCCGTGTCTCCTGGCATTATGTGATCAAGCAGCTCTAAACAGCCTCCAGAAAACCACCAGGAGAGTAACCATAACACATTGTGCATGTGCTGCACCTTAAAAACAGAGCACAAGCTATGGGGCATTCTGCCTAACTTCTGTCCCAACACAGGACGCTAAGGAAAGAAACACAACCGGACTCAGTGCAACTAAAATGTAGCTAAGAAACTGTTCTTCCCTTAAATATGTGTGACACTAGCAAGAAAAGCCAAAAGAAGCCAGAAGGCTGCAACTCAAAAGGAGAGGACAGCACGGTGCGAAAGGAAGCAGAAGCAGGAGACTGTTGCTAGACCTACATAGGAGCAGGCTGTTCCTGTCAAGTCAGGATCACATCGAGACAAATTTGGTAGGAACATAAACTCCATATTCCAAATTCCTCAATACCAAGAGAAAGCTTAGGGGGGAAAAAATGGCTATTGTCCCACAAGACATGAGCACAGAAGGGTTTCTGTGCTTGTCTAAGACAACACAAAAAAACAATAGCAGAACCAAAAGCTGGATCTCCTGAGTTACAGCCAAGTGTTCTAACCACAGTATCTTTTGCTGGGAAAGTAGCAACCAACTGAATGCTTGAAGCTAAATGAATCCAGCAGGGCATCACTGATTAGAATTCGGCGACTAGATTCTTGTAAGATATTTATGTGCCTGCAGTGACAGATAGAAATCCTGAATTGTCAAGAAGTTCTTTTTTGAAGTTCATAAAGGGTATCCATTTGATTCATTATGTGACTAAATATTATGAAAAAATTAGAGGGAAGACTGCCATCATCACTGCTACTTTTCTTATCTAATTACAGCCAAGTTCAACCCTGCTAAATTTACAACTAAGAAATCAATGTTACTTTTCTGACTTTCAGCCCAGGTCATAGCTGAGGAGCCAGCACTACCATCTCACATAAATGAAGTCAGCCCAGCCTCCCTTTTGGTTAGAACCCGTATTTTTTTCCAATAAATGTGTTTTCCCTTTTTTGGCATCACTTTTGGCCTGTGGCAGTAGGGCTCAGAGGTCACTGTTCTAGAACAAGAAGTTCTTCTTACAAAAATAACCCTCATGTAACTTTACTACTCTTAATGAGAACATCACTCTGTTTCTCTGACACATATTCCAGAATTTTTTTACTCCGGGTTTTATCATTCTCTTATGTTCTAAGACACAGTATTTTGGAAGATCATTCAACATTAAACCATACGACCCATAAATGAGGGCTTTGTCTGGACAACTGCAGATGAAGTCTGAAGGACACCAGTGTTTGGACTTTTGCTATATTTTCAATGTTTAAAGCATTAGCAAAATAAAATATTAAAACTGTGCAACAGTGCAACCTCAATTAATAAGGAAGAAACATAGCAGGAAGCACACTAACCTGTGAGAAGAATCACAAAATTCTGTGCACTACAGCATGACTTAATCAAGGTTATGCATAGAACAACACGGAATATTACATACTCTCCTGTGTTTCTAGAACGGGTATGCAATTTACCTTGAAAACAAATCCTTCCGGACAGGTGTGATCATACTTGTAAACCTTGTAGACTACCAGAAATACAACACACGTTAAGAACGCAAGGGCAAAAAGGACCAGCACAGTTACCTGTAAAGAAAAATAAAACATGCTTATGTTAGCAATGCACTGCTTGTTATACTGCTGCTTGTTACTGCAGGCAGCAGAAGCCAGCTATGAATGCACTTCACAGTAAAATCAAGCAAAGGATAAAACCAGCTGCTTAATTATTGAGGGAGAACAGGGAAGCAGCACATAAGTGCTTTTACCTTCCCCTTCTGAGAGAAGAAGGCAGATCATCTGGTCAGTGACCCACTGTGTCTGTACTGCAAGGCTTTTTTAGGCTGTGTTTCTGTTCAGGGCACACGTGAGGCCAGAAGGACACAACAAGGTAGCTTGGGTCTGCTGTTTTTTCAGTATTTGGATGATGTAAGCATAAGTCTAGTTTATGTCAGCTGATAGACATGTTTGTCTTCTCCCTGTGCCTGTCCAAGAATGGAGTCAGGTGACAGTAAGTTAGCACAGGTGTCACACAGATAATACAAAGGTGACTCTTTCAGGGCTTGGAGAAAGTGATGTCTGCTGTCTCTTGGTAGGGCCAGCATTTGTTGTGCCTGCTCTGAACGTATGGATAGTTACACCAGTAGTCTGCATGCTTGGTTGCTCAGTGCTCCTTAATTTGTAAGTTGAAACAGTACTACTTCATCACACAGAGGTTGTACAGGAATAGTTCACTGCCAGATCTGTAAGGGAACACCCCATGTTCAACACTGGGCAAGCCTGGAGGAGCTCTGTTGAACCTCTTTCCTCAGTGCTCACAGAGAAGCCATTACAGACTCCCTTACATGGCACTGGCTTTTCACATATCCTTCAGTACCTCTCTGGTCCTGAATTTGGGATGGAGAAAAATCCAAGACACACTTAAAATCTGAACAACTCAGTGTCGGTATCAACTGTGAGCAGCTGAAGACTGGCAGCCTTTTAGGTGTGACAGGAGAGAGAACTACCTTTAGAATTACATCACCCATTGGCAAACGAAAGAACAAAATTTTGGCCTACTAGTTACACTGCAAAGCTCTCTAAATCAGACCTATTTTTGTGGAAAGTGTGAGCTGAGCAAATAGCATTCATTACCTGGGACAGTATCCCTGATGTGTGGTATTATTCTAAAACAACTATTCATAGACAAACTAGTACCTCAAGGAGATTACACAGTAAGAGTGGTTAAGGTTAATTTCCTTTTTGGCAAGTTGGAAAGTAAGCCAGCATGTGCTACAGCATAAGAAACAATAATAAACAGAAACAAATAAGATTATGATTAATTTCTTCAACCAAAGTATAAAATTATCTAAATTTTAAAGTTAGTTTCATAAACCAGCTATATACACCTCCTAAAAAAAGAATTTAGGCATGTTAGGGTACAATTAATTGAAACAAGAATAATCTGAAATTTGAGAAAGCAACAACAACAAAAAAATGTCGCTTTGCCTTTTGGTACAAACAAGTCCCCTTACAATAAATCCCTGAACTAACAGACTTTGCAACACCACAAACTGTGTGTGCCAGTGAGATTAGGACACTGCAGGACTGCGATGAACTTTAGGGACTTCTCATGCTGTGGAAGCAAACTTCATCATGGGCAGACAACAGTGAGTGCTAAATTTCCTGGCTGAAACAAGGCTGGGGATTATCGTGTGTTGCTGAAACCAAGGATTTTGTGAGGATTTTTGATAGACAGAAAATAAGCAAAAAAAGGAAGGCTGGAGTGGAGGCAAAGAGAACTGCAGATCAAAAAGTAATTTATCAGAGGAAATGTAGGTATTAATGTAACAATGCTGTTCGAAATGAGACATGGAATGAAGGACATTTTTGGTTAATAGCAACAGATTCAGTTTCTCAACAGTCACTGGATTAAAAAAGAAAATTAATTCAATCATAATCAGCCTCTGAAACCTTCACATTGACATGAATTTTCGTATCTAATTAGTCTTTCTTTATTACTCATTTGCAAACACAAAAGTTAACATGGATAGATCACCCTGTCTTGCCAACCTCATGTTTTCTGCTTATATGTCTCATGTCTCAGAATATCCTGCATGAATCCAAGAGATAAAGTACATTTTCACTTTCCTTTCTGGTTATTCTCTGTTTAATAACAAACACCACACACATGCCCCCATTTCTGGCCCAGCTCAGCCCTTCTGATAGGTTTATAATCAGGCCTCTCCCTTTATTCTTCTATGGTTGTGTTCTTCCAGTGCTTCCTCAGCTATCCCACCCACACATATCCTAGTACAAGTGCATGTACACGTACCCTTCGCACTCTGGCTTGGTCCAAGCCTTGCATTCCACCCTCCAGGGCTTTCCCCTCCCCACACCTGTAATGAGCCTTATTCTCTGTTCCCTCCCTCCAAATTTACCTTGCACTCCAGGCTCTAGAAAAATTGACCCTTCTCCCCTAAGCCTGCAATTCCCACTTGGGGCTCCTTGTCCCACCTCCTTAATGCCCTGCTGGTACCCCGTACCTGTACACAGGTGCCCTGGGTCCTCCTGCCCCATGGGCCTCACCATGCCTGGGCCCCACTGCAGGTCCACAGCCTGCTCTGCCTGCAGGGACGTGAGCCCAAGGCCTTCCCCTGCTGAGCTCCAGCAGCCGCTGGGCAGCATGGGAAGAGGAGGAACCAGAGAACAGGGAGCGCTCCTCACCCAGCCCAGCAGATATACAATACACACAGGGCCCAGTCCAAGCTGCAGGTTTGGGTCATTCACTTCCCTCTGACTCCCAAGCGCATGTTACAATGTTCAGAATGCTCTGACAGTGGCTGCTCTTTCCCTTAGAGAAGAAAGGGAAAAGAGAGATTAGAGAGCTGGGATAGAAAAGCTAAAAGCCAGATAGGATGATTGCTGAGGCTTCCCATGCCCCACAAGACATACTCCATGCAGCCTTCAACAAAGGCTACTCTCTTTAGGAGCACAGGCCTGTGACATGGGACACGGACATCAAGCAGAACAATTGCTATGGCACAGATCAATTCAGTTCACATTTGTCTCTGCCACAGATAGGAGCAAACAGTTTTAAAATGTTTTGAAAAATATTCTCAAACCTTAAAGCATTTTAACCCTATTTCCTGGTCATTCTACTAGCAGGCAGTAGTAGAATTATAACAGTATTTCCCAGTTCTAACTATTCTGACATACAGATGAGGTTTCAGGAATGTACCAAGACAACATGGTATTTTATATCTGAGGATAAGTATTAGACAAAAGAAAAAGACTGTATTTCCACAATCACTGCAATATCACTCTGTTCAAAGCTCCAAAATTGTTCTGGAAAGTGACTGTGTTTTCTGAAAGAGGACAAAAGCCCAGTGCTGTGTGGATTGCTGGAGCCTGGCAAGTTGCTCTGACCGACATGGAGCTGTGATTTCTCACTGCTCGTACAAGTTCTTCCATTGCCACCCAGTAAGCCACTGGAAAGAGCTCTCAGGGCTCCTGGTTCAAAATTCTCTCTCACTTACTGTATTTCCTAATGTTACTAATTTTGGTATTAACATGTAAATTTTTACTCTCATTATCTTTAATGATTTGCAATCACACTCCATTTGCAAGTCCCTAATCAAGTAAGCTCTTGTCTCCTTCCTATTAGGAGAGAATCTCCCTTCTCTTACTATCCTTCAGGATAAGAGTAACTTCTATTTAAGGACAGTCACAGATGCAAACGACAGAGATGGAATCCAGTGATGGATTTCTTTCCAAGGTGATCGCAATCCCCTGTTAATCTGATCTACTTCTCCCTTATAAGCTGACAATCCTCTTTCTTCTAATAGCCATTTTTCTTCACTCTCGTAACAACCCACACTGATGGTCCACAGTTGTCAGATCCCCATGTCAGCTTCTCTCCCCAGCCAGTAACAGTGTAGCCCAACCTCTCTGCTTCACCTTTTGAGCCCTCTCCTACTGGATGCCTTTCAGAAATAAAAGCCTGGAAAGAGAGAAGGCAACAAGCTGCTCTTAGACCACAACCAACACCAAAGCTGCCATTTTACTGCTTGCTTCCACAGTAACTCTGCACACCTGCTGTAACCTAAGTTATTCTTGTCTTCCTACCGACACACTGACAGCAACTTGCCCTCTTCCTCTGTTCCAGGCAGGAGCAGATGCAATACATGCACAAGCACCACTCCCATTCTTGAATCTCTTCTCTCTTTGTGGTAGCCAGCTGGCAGTGCAGGACCATACGCACTGGGAGCAGAAGTCTTGTGAATTACTATGAGCATTCACTGCCATGCACATCCTGCAGAACTCCAAGGTGACTGTCACACTGCAAGAGTGATGGGCTTTTAAAATACTTTTCATGAAATAACTACAAGGTAGGACAAACAACCATGTCTTTTAACTAGGAATTCTAAGTGTGGCTTTGCTTTCATCTTGATTGTGACATTTAAAGTTAGTTTTAAGGGGATCAGGCAGCAAAACCAAGTGAACAGAGAAGATGACAAGATGTATGTGGCAGATTTCTGAATAGATTGAAAGTGAAGAGCAGAAGAAGGACAACGTCTAGCCAGAAGCCATTACAGTAATCGAAATGAGAGATGACTAATGAATGAACTAAGCATACCCACAGCAAAAAAACCTGTCTTCAGACTCTGTAAGTGGGTAGCTAAACAAATGAGATTCACCATATCTGACAACTACACTAACATGTAAGCAGGTTATAAGGCCTTTACCATAAGATCTGCTAGGTCTTCCCCATTAGTCCATCCTACTTTGCCTCAGCTGTGCAACACTGCAAGCTGTATTTTCTCTGCCTGGCTACTGCAGTCTCCTTCTTCCTTACTCCACTACTGTTTACTGGACTCCCTTTTTAATCAAGCTGCAATATTATAGCAAATTCATCAATTGCACCAACAGTGCTTGCTTCTCTTCATACCCTTTCCTGGTTCCTGTCCCTTTCTGAACAAATTACCAGTCATGTTTCAAGGCATGCACGAGTCTACTCCTTTTGCTCCTCTCAGCTCCATCCATTTTGCCTGTATCCCACTGTCCCACTAAAGCCTGGGTACCATCCGTTTCTCCTCTGCCTTCACCTT